GTAGCTCAATGGCAGAGTGCTTGACCACTGAGCTACATCCCCAGCCCTTTTCATTTATTTTTGGGACAGCGTCTCACTAACTTGTTTGGGACTTCACTAAGTTGCCCAGGCTGGCCTTAAACTCAAGGTCCTCCTGCCTCAGCCTCCCCAGTCACTGGGATTGCAGCTATGCACCACCACACTCAGCACTGTGATGTATTTTGAGTTAACTTTTTGAGGGTATTTAGATGTCTGTGTCTAGAATCCTTGTTATACAGGTAAACATCCAATAGTTAGTTTAGCATCATTTGTTGAAAAGACTGTCTTTTCTCCATTATGTTGCCTTTGTTCTTTTGTCAAAGATCTGTTAACTGTATTCATGTGGGTCTAGGTCTGTGCTCTCTGTTCTGTTCCATTGATTTATTTGTCTACTGTTCCACCAATACCACATTGTCTGGATCACTATGGCTTTATCATTAGCCTTGAAGTTGGGAAATAGTCCTCCTGCTTTACACTCCTTCCATATTATATTGTCTATTCTAAGTCTTTTACTTTTCCTTGCACACCTTAGAATTGATTTGTCAACACCCATGAGATAATTTGCTGGGATTTTGATTTAGATTATACTGAATCTAAAATCAAATTGGGAAGAACTGACATCTTAATAATAATGAGACTTGCTATCCATGAACATGGAATATCTCTCCATTTATTTAGTTCTTTTTTATTTCTCTCATCAAACTTTATTATAGAGTTTCTTTCTTTATATTCTTATTTTTAATAACAGCTTTACTGTTATTTATTTTACATATACCACATGATTCATAGAGTTCATATATATTTTTATATCCAAGTATTTCATTTTATGGAAATAGCATATTTTAAATTAGAAAATTCTACTTGTTCATTGATGCTTGCTTTCTTCCTCTTCCTCACATATATGCATTTATTGCTGTATATTTACTTTACTCTAAGTCTGTGTAGATGTATGGTCCTGAGTATGGCTGCTGAATATTCAGATTCCTTATTTTTCTTTCATGTCTGGGGAAAGTTGTCTGTACCCTGGAATTTCCAGCCGAAGTCTTGAGTCTTCCCTTCCAGGAATACTGATTCCTGTGGATGAAGAAATGTACACAATGTTTCTTTCTTTATATTCTTATTTTTAATAACAGCTTTACTGATATTTATTTTACACATACCACATGATTCATGCATGTTAAGTGTATTTAAGTGCAAAGGTTTTTTAGTAGATTCACAGAATTGTACAACCATCACCACAATTGTTTTTGAGAACATCTCACCCAAAAAAGAAACTGTTCTCACTAGCAGTCACTCACAGGTGTTCTTGGTGGCAGCTTACCTGAACTGGTTTCTGTGACTAGACTCAGGGTAGGGCCGTGTCCCTCAGCCCACAGGACTTGGACCCAGTGGGAGATGAGTGGAAAAAGTGTTGAGAAGGCAGCCACAACAGTGACAGTGCTGAGGCCTCCTGGATGCACCTGACCTTGAGGCTTGCCCGCCCTGCCTTACCAAGCTCTCATCTTTTGATTGTTTAAAGTGCAACAAAAGCAAGCGGGGGCTCCTATGAAGGAGGTGCTGTGGCCAGATTTGGGAAGCCTGTCCTTGGCAGAGGGGACAAACTGCACAGAGGCACAGGTGTGTGAGGGACTGGAGAACCTGCACACTCGTCCATGTGGAGAAATGGAATGTGATGAGGTCAACCTATTCCTCTCAGTTTTACATCGCTAACAGTTTTTACTCCTTTTTTGGTAATGCTATTAGGTGAGTAGAGGTTCAGAGTCATCCATCATTCTCCAAAATAATCCTTATTCCCTTACCAGTGCCTTGGGCCAACCTTACAGGGTTTTAAAATTCCACCTTCATAGTACACCAGTGCATAGGTATCTTTATTACCCATTTCTCTGATGAGGAAACAGGCTCAGAGAGACTAAGGCATCCACCCAAGGTCACACAGCAAAAAGAACCTGAATGTGGATACAACTCTGTCACTTGTGGGGTTTTTTTTTTTTGTGTGTGTGTGTGTGGTGCTGGGGATTGAACCCAAGACCTTGTACATGTGAGGCAAGCATTCTAACAACTTAGCTATATCTCTAGCCCAACTTATGCTTTTTGAATGATCCATCCAAGATACTCTTTTCAAATACATGTGTATATTTGCTTTATTTTTACACAAGCAGTATTCTGGCTCAACTTTCCCCAATAGATTTAGGTCATTTCATGCCTTTATATAACTTTCTGTCACATATGTGCCTTTTTTCTCCTGCTATTGAATATTTTACTAAAGGGATGCTCTCTAATTATCTCACCAGTTCCCTATGGGATGGTATTTAGGTTATATCCAGATTTTTGCTACTATAATAGCTGTCTTCATGATGATCTCTTAGCACTTTTCCATTAATCTATAGAAGAAATTCTTACTTGATCAAAAGCATGTTTGGTGTTGTGGCTCGGGGCAGAGCACTTGCCTAGCACATGTGAGGCACTGGGTTTGATCCTTAGCACCATATAAAATTAAATAAAATTAAGGTATTGTGTCCATCTACAACTAAGAAAAAAATCCAATGCTTTAAAAAGAAAAGAAAGTTAAAAAAAAATAAAAAGAAAATAAAAATTAAAAAAAAGAAAAAGAAAAGAAAGTGTTTTTGTTTGGGTCAGTACTAGGAACCCAGGGACGCTTAACAACTGAACTACATCCCAAGCCCCTTTTATTTATTATTTTGAGACAGGGTCTCACTAAGTTGCTTAGGACCTCACAAAGTTGCTGAGGCTGGCCTCAACTTGCAATCCTTCTGCCTCAGCCTCCCAAATTGCTGGGATTACAGGCGTGCACCATGAGGCGCTGCTCAAAAGAAAGTGTTTTAAATTCTGAACTTTACCAAATTCCCCTCCATGAAGGTGTCCCATGTGAGCGGCAAAGGCTGTTTTAGATTCAGAGTGCTCTGATCCTCTGCCTGAGGACAGACATCTTGTCCCCTGCTCCCTGCTGGGCATTGGCTCATTCCCTACCCAGGGCTCATTTCCACACAGACCACACTGACCCTTTCTGTTCTTCAATGCCCAGGCTAGTTCCCACCTCAGGGCTTCTAAACTTGCAGTTCCTTTAGCCCAGATGCTCTTCCCCACAATCTGCAGTGGCTCCCTCCTCACCTTTCCCCTTCCTTTTTTTTTTTTTTTTTTTTTTTAGAGAGAGTGAGAGGGGGATAGAGAGAGAGAGAATTTTAACATTTATTTATTTTTTCTTAGTTCCCGGCGGACACAACATCTTTGTTTGTATGTGGTGCTGAGGATCGAACCCGGGCCGCACGCACACTAGGCGAGCCACTACCGCTTGAGCCACATCCCCAGCCCCTCCCCTTCCCCTTTCTCAGAGAAGTGTTTTTCCAATTTGAGTCGCTCCATGCCAATTCCAGTCGCTGCTCTGAGTTTTATTTCATTTACAACACTGAAATGATCCTGTTATTTACTTGTGGATTTTCTCTCTGCTCTCCAAAAGCTGGGAGTTTTCTTTTCACACACAGCTAGATTCCTAACACCTGGCCCTCAGCAGTCATTCGGTACCTTTGCTGCCTTCCCTCTCCCAAACTCATATAATATTCCATTTTTCTTCATAAAATGTATTTATTTCCTTCTATCATATATCATTTACTTCTAGGTATTGTCTGACTCCCTCACTAGGCTGTCACCTACAGAAGGGGTGGGGATATTGTTTGGTTCATTTCTGGGTGTCACATCTCAAATGCCTATTTGTATTGTTTTGCTTTGTTTTAAGAGACAGGTTCTTGCTATGTTGCCAGGCTGATCCTGAACTCCTGTGCTACAGTAATGCCCCTTCCTCAGCCTTCCAAGTAGCAGCAGCTCCTCGAATGCTTAGAATAGTGTATGATGCATAGTGCTCCATAGACACTCCATAAGTGTCCTCCAGGGAAAAAAGAGAAAACAAACCTGTTCAAGGTTTATCTTCATTGTGTTACCAATGTTGACCCAAGATAGGTCCTTTTTCCCTCTTGGAATCGTAGAACCCGTCAGGTTCAGAGAAACTAAGGCATCCACCCAAGGTCACACAGCAAAAAGAATAGAACCTGATCAAGCAGCATGGAAAGTTTTATTCTTGGACAAAGAATAGGAGAAGCCCAGAGGCTGAGCAGGTAGTAGATATAGATTAAAGAAAGGAATATTCCTGTGGTTTCTAGGATTGGGTGGAGATTTTCTAAGAATTCAAGTGCTCCTCTGGCTCCTATTAAGGGCTCCTTTGGTCGTTGTCATGGTGATTGTCAACTGACATGGCACAAGATTAAGGAAATCTTAATAGGGAAATGCAGTACAGTGAGATGGTAACGAGCCTAAAAAAGAACCACGCTTGCATTGCAGCTGAAGCTATCAGGTCAGGTTCTACCTGTGCTATCCTGGTGGGTAAGCAGGCAGTTGGTCGATTTCCTTAGTTCTAGGATGCAAAAAGTATGGTCAATATATTGTGTAAGACTCTCAAAGAAAAAGTATGGGTAAATATTTTAGGTTGCATCGATCCTCGTACAGAATGTGTAGATTTGTTAGTTTGGGATAAGCAACTTGGCCCTTTTTCCTCAATGACAGTTGCATGGATGAGTGAGGATCCTAACCCCCACCCTCCAGGGTTCACAGGCTGTCCTCCAGGGAAAAACAAGAAAACAAACCTGTTAAAGAGCAGGTTCCCAGCAGGTGAGGTCTTTTGGGTGACCTGAGCAGGACCTGCAACCTCCAGGTGAACACAGAGCTTGGAGGCCAGCGAGCCAGATGGGGGCGTGGCTTGCCGCAGGTGAGCAGGCAACTAGCCCCGGCCCCGCCCCAAGAGGCTCCGCCTTCCGGGGAGGCTCATAGACCTCTAGCCAGGAAGCCCCGCCCCGTTTGCTAGACCATGCCCAATTTCCCGGGCCCCGCCCCGCCAGCGAGATTTCGCTAGGTCGTACCCTGGGAGCCCCGCCCTTCTTGGAATCCCCGCCTACTCCGCCCCCGAGGCCCCGCCCCGCCTGTCAGCCGGCCCCTGCGCCCGCCAGGCTCAGCTCCGACCTTGCAGCGGCGTAGCGCGGGCAGGAGGCGGGAGCAGCGGCGGGCGGAGCGCAGCAAGCTCAGCTCGCAGTGCGATCTCCAATGAGCTGCGTGGAACCTGCGCCCTGGACGACCTGAGCCAGCTGCGCGCCCCCCTCTACGACCCACCTGGTGCCAGGTAAGGGCCCAGCGAGAGGACCCCCGACCTAAGACCCTACCAGGTTAGTGCGCCAGGCCGGACACTGCGTGGGGAGCGTATGGGTACCCTTGCCTCGTTGGGAATAGGCATCTAGGCAGAAGGTGGGAACCTTCTTGAGCCCCTGCCAGGATACCTGGGACCCGGGCACTGCAGATGCCAGCCCCCTCCCCCACCGCCCCTATCCCTGCAGCATCCCTTCAGGGCCTGCAGGATGGATGTTGTATTTCTTTTAACCCCTGAGGCGACGCCATCTCCTGGAAAATGGTGTGAAGAGAGCATTTTGGTGGGATCTTGGGAGGCTGATGTTCCGCTGGGATGGGGCTGGAGTGATTTCTGAGGGTTCCCCACCTCCCACAGCAGGGCCTGACAGAGATCCTGAGCTCTCTGGCTATGATAGAAGCCTGGGGGTGGCCTGGGCCTGCCCACTTGGGCAGAGCCAGTCCCTTCAGTTTTCCCAGATGGCCCTTGGGCTGAAACTGCTCCTAATGCACCCTCCTGGGCAGTTAGGCCTGTGGGTGCTCCTGCCCCGCCCTGGTTTCTGGGCCTCTGTGGAAATAGGCCTCCTCCCCCAGCCTGCTTTAACTGAGATAGCTTTAAGCTGGGTTGATGGACTACCTGCCTTCTGCCCCACCCTTGAAGATGGGATGGCCTCCAGGCCCCTGCTTCAGGTGGCCCAGGGCCAGGAGACAAGAGGAGGGCTATAGGAAGGGTTCCCCAGTTTGCTTGGCTTAGGCCACAAGTTACCTGCTGCAACTTTCCCAAGTCCCAGAGTGAGGACCAGGCCCAACATGGAACACAGTGGGCTCAGTGAGGGTGGGAGTCAGGATGGAACCACATGGGCCCAGCCCAGAACTGTCCCTGCCTCCAGAGATCCCACCACATCACTGCAACACCATCCACCACACAGGCCTCGGCCAGCCAGTGCATGCTGAGCAGCCACTGGGTCTTCCCAAGGCTAATCCACATTAGGGTAAAAGGCTCATTAATTCGGGGTGCACAGGGGCCACTTGGGCCACACAAGTCAGGACCTTTTCCTGCAATCCCTTAGTAGCCTGGGTAGGGGACCCCCAAAAGGGTGAAGTGTCAGTTCTTGATTCTGCCTTCAACCATTTCCCATAGGCCACTCAGCCTCCTCAAGCTGTCTGGTGGGCATGGTAACTGTGGGCCTCCAGGGTGGTGGTGAAGAGCTGGGAGGTGCCTAGCACCTAGTAACTCCTTGCAGATGGTAGCTGTTGTGGTTGTAGTAAGAGTTATTTATTATTTCCTGGTTGTTCCAGACCTTCTTCTGAAACTGACTGTTGGAGAGGCCCAACCAGTGTCTCCTCTACTGGGAAGAAAGGTCTTTAATGAGGCCTCCAGTGGGGATAGGGTCCCTTGCTAAATGCCATTCCTTAGGATTTAGCGTCATAGCAAGTTGCTCCTGTCTGCCCTGGGCCATGTGGAGCCTGCCCTGGCCTCTGGCCACCACCTTGTCCTTGTCTCTTAGGCCACACACATCACCTGAATACCCACAGTTTGCCCTCCAGAGCCATTTGTCCAGCTCAGCTGAGTCCTCAGAGTCGGGCAGATGGAGGGCAGGGACATGCAGCCTCATGATCTCCAGCCTCCCCACCCTGCAGCCTTAGCTTGTGGTCTTGTCCCCTTCCTTCTCCTGCTTAGTAACTTTAAAAATAACAGAGTAACTTGTCCTCACTGAAGACTGTAACCTGATCTGAACTGAGTTAGATTCTGCTCAGCCTGGAGCTTGGAGTAGAAGGACTCAGCACTTGGGGGTAGGGAGCTTGGGTGCTATCATGCTCTGCTTAGCTTGCTGTGTGGCTCTGGATAAGTCTCACCTCTGTCCTCCCTGGGCTTCAGCTTCCTCAAATGCAAAGCATGATTCAGAGGGTCCATGTCATTGTTTGGAATTTTGTTTATTCCTGAGAAGATAAGTATTGGGGGCTCCCAGGTAGGCAGCTGGCCACCTGGGTTGTGGGACATCAGGAAGGAACTCCCCCAGTGACTAGGAGTCAGAGGTGGGGACCTGGCCAGGCTCCTGGGCTGCAATCCAGCCTTCATGTCCCTGGCTGATCTGTTACCTTTCCTGCTTCTGAGCCCCAACCCCTTTCTGGGGATGTGGATCTTGTGCCCACCAAGACGAGGCAGCGGCTGAGGTGACTGGCAGGACCTAGTGCAGCTGGCAGTGGTTTGGCCAGGAGAACAGGTTGGCACTGGGCCAGGAGCTTCCCTTCCTGGGCTCTGAGTGGAGCTCACCCACTCCCTCACTCCCCAAGGCCTCTGCATTGCAGCAGATGGAGCCTGCGCTGGCAGCTCAGCCAGCTGGGGTAGAGCAAGGGCCCAGCCAGGGGTAGTTGCCCATCCCACCCCTTCTCCTTGTCCCTGACCCGACTTGGCCCTGGCTCTCCTTGGAGCAGCGGTAGCTGACTGAGCAAGCAGCATCTCTGAGATGGACTAGAATCTGCCTGGAGGTGTTGGGGTAACAGCAGGGCCAAGCCTTGAGGGCCATGATGTCTCATTCCTCTCTGCATCTCAGACCCCTTCTTAGCATCTTGAGGGAGCTTGCCTACCCACTGGAGAGGTTGTTTTGCAGGATTAGAGCTATGGAGTTGAGAACACAGATACTGGAGCTTTACATCCCAGCTCTGCCGAGCTGTGTGACCGGGAGCAGGTCACTTGACTTCTCTGCCTCAAACTTCTCAATTGTAAAATGAGGGAAATATCAGAACCTACTTCATAGGATACTTGTGAGCATTAATATGTATAAGTCACTTAGAACATTGCTTTGCACATGTCAACATCAATAAGTGTCAGATATTATTGTTGCCATTGTTATCCTCCTCATTATTTCCACCTTTGCTGCTTTGCCTGAGCCCTCACCGATGTGGACTCTTTTCCTTAAATAAGTGTACCCTGTTAGCATTTGTTATATTAAGAAGTATTGGTTGTAGCTCAGAGGAAAAGCGCTTGCCTAGCATGTGTGAGGCACTGGGGTTCGATTCTCAGCACCACATATAAATAAATAAGATGGAGGTTCATGGACAACCATATATATATATATGAAGAAGTCTTAGAGGCTAGGGGTTGTGGCTCAGTGGTAGAGAACTTGCCTACCATGTATGAGGCCCTGGTTTGATTCTCAGCACCACATATAAATAAATGCATAAAATAAAGGTTCATCAACAACTAAAAAATAAAAGAAGTGTTGAGCAAGGTACACTGGTGCATCCCTATGAGCCCAACAACTTGAGATGATGAGGCAGGAATATCTCAAGTTCAAGGCCTGCCTCAGCAACTTAGTAAGACCCTGTCTCAAATTAAAATAAATAAATAAAAATAAAAAGGGTCAGGGATGGAGTTCAGTGGTAGAGCACCCATGGGTTCAATCCCCAAGACTGGGGAATGTCTTAGCCTGATGATTAAGAGCCCAGATTCTGGGCCCAGACAGACCTAAGTCTACATCTCAGCTTTGCTGTTCACCAGCTGTGTGATCATGGGCAAATTATTAACTTCTCAGGGCCTCAATTTCTCATCTGCTAGCTGGGGATGATGACATGCAAATCTCACAGAGTTGTGATGATTTTATAAGTGAACACACAGAAGCTCACAGCCCAGGGCTGGGCTGGTGAAGTGCTGTTACTTAACTGTGTGCTGTGGTTATTGGACACCTGCTGTGTGCCAGGCAGGCAGGGAGTCAGGTGCTGGGATCCTTCACATACCAGCTCAAGTTCTGGTTTGGGCCTGGTTGTCTGAGCGTATGGATCAGGTGACTTTGTTCCTCTGTGCCTCAGTTTCTCAAGCTGTAAGTGTGGGTTCAGTCACTCCACAGCACAGGTCCATCCCCTCTGCCTGGATTCAGCCATAGGGAGAGGACCTCTCTCAGGCCATACTCCCATCATGGTCACAATTCACAGCTGCCCCTCCTGTCACTCCCTTCAGGATCTCACTTAGTGCTGAAACTGGCCTTGAATTTAGGATCCTCTGACTCAGCCTCCTGAATAGATGGGATTAGGTATGCACCTGGTTGGTTACTCTTTCTTTCTTTCTTTCTTTCTTTCTTTCTTTCTTTCTTTCTTAACATGGAATGCTTCCTGAATTTGTGAGTCATCCTCCAGAGCTTTGCCCGGTTTGCAGACAAGACAGTCAAAAGCCCCCTTCCAGGAAGCACAGGTCAGGAGTTGGTTCTCAGGGACACGCCACAGCCCAGACCCAGCCTCACCCTAGACAAGCTCCACCTGCAGACTCGGGCCACCAGTCCTGCTTCCTGTGTCCGAGGCCCCCAGTGTGGGGATGTGCTTAGGTCAAAACAGACATCAAGACCCAGAAAACCAAAAGATCCTAGAGCTGCATGAAGAGGTTCTGGAAACTTCCAAGTAGATGCAGAGGCCCCTGGGCTGCAGTGAGACCAGCAAGACATACCCAACACTTCAAACTCTCTCTTCTCCTAAAGGTAGAGGTTTAGTTGAAGTAGGAGGAAAGCGAACAAGCATTTATCTTGTGCTCACTGAATATAGTTAGTGATGATCAGCAACAGTTATTATGTGCCAGACACCATGCCCAGAACTCATTGAGGCTCATGCATTAAACTTCATGCTAACATTTTACAAATGAGAAAACTAGTTCCAGAGAAGTTAGTGGCATTAAAAATAGTGGCCTCGGGGGCTGGGGATGTGGCTCAAGCGGTAGCACGCTCGCCTGGCATGCGTGCGACCCGGGTTCGATCCTCAGCACCACATACCAACAAAGATGTTGTGTCCGCCGAGAACT